TATATAGAGACTACTTTAAGGCCAGAGTATACACAATTTGGGCCCATGGACCCTTAGGGAACGATAAGTGGCCTTCCGCGGCGATCTGGAACATGCTGTGCAGCAAGGCAGCAATGCCGGCTTTCTCAGGCATGGGCTGTGTGAAGAAAGTGCGGTGGAGGGTTTAGGGGTTTTAAGGTTTTAGGGTTTAGGGGTTTAGGGTTTTAGGGGTTTAGGGGGAGTTCCGTGAGCTGTCAGCTTTTTGCTCCGTGCGACACGCCAACATATTGATATCGGTCTGGCAAAGAATGGAAGCACCTTGCACCGAGACTGGCAGCCTGCGGGCATCATCGACATCCTCTCACGTATGCATACTCAAATATGTACATATATATATATATATATATCTCAACACGCCATGAGACGGTGGAAACTTGCAGTTGCAGAGTCATGTTGTTTACTTAGTTGCTGGGTTCATAAGCCCCAAAAAAGTGTACACTTTCGGTTTTATAGTAGGTAATATTATCCCAAAAAGTGTAAAGTGTATCCACTCAGCTATTGAGTTGAAGTAGAAACAGATTACATCCTTTTCGACTATTCATCATCTGGATGTCAGGCTGTGCACGCCCGCCGGCTGCCAACCTCGGTCACATGGACACGGAGGTTTGAGTGCGGCCATCTCTCTTTAAGGATAGACCGCAGCGGTCGGAATAGATGCTGCGCGGCGTCTACTCACATTTTGCATGCTGCTTGAAGCCACGATGCAGTTAAAGTACCACTGGAGGAACACACTCATTGACACCGCATCCGGCCATGCTATCTGATCTGTTCTATCGGGTCGCTCCTGCTGTGGGCTCGCTCCTAGCGCGGCGGCAGGGCAGCGTTGTGATTTGCAATGGTTGCAGGGCATTGCGACACTAGAGCAGATTTTTTGTTTTGCTGTCTTACTGTTTGATGTAGCTGTCCATACAGAATTTATTGAGTGCTATTTTGCAGCCGACATGCATACATAATCAGCACATCCCTGTAGACATGTTGCGGTACCGAGTACAGCGTCTGGGGTGTTTGCAGGGCTCTCACATCCAACCACTTCCCATGAAGTCTGGGCAAACTCTGCAGTACTTGGCACATCCTACCGATGCGAATCTCCCCTATATAAGCCCGCTTCCAAACAGCGTCTGGAGCGCCACGCAACCCCGCTACAGCAGAACCTGCATGGGATGCAAAAAACAGTATGAAGCTGATCTTGGCTTCTCATCATTAGGCTCTTCCAAGCGTGCCTCTTTGTGGCAAGAGCACCACTGCACGAGCTACAAAGTACAAGCAAACCCTTACGACGCACACCTGATGGACATACTAACACACGCTAGCTCTGTCTGGGCACTGTTTTCTTCATAAGCCGGATTAGGGTTGTCCATCTGACAGAACTTTGAAAGCATTGAGACACGAAAGAGCCTCTGGGTGTTGCATGGCTATTTGTTGTCTTGGAAACATAACATTACTAAAGAATGAATGAACCATGACACGAGCCCTGAGTGGCCCTAACTCCTAAACTCCAACCAAACGCCCAAGATCGGGCTTCACTAGGCTTCCGGCTCAGAGTCTCAGGTTGAGGTCGTCGGAAATTTCAAATGCTTAGCTCTTGGCAGAGTCTTCTCGGGTACCGTTATCAATGAAGGACATAGTTAGCACTGTGTTAGTTTGCTGTTAGTCCCCTCTTGGCGTTCTTTGGCCTTTCTTACCTTCCTAACCTTTCTGTGGATTGTTTTGCCTGGGCTTTCAAACTGATCTGAACAGGGCTGCTTCGCAGAGCCTAGTAATGAGAAGCTCTCAACCGAGGCCGTGCATCAGTCGCCCTTCTTGGTGCAACTGAAACCAGGTTTAGGGGTTTAGGGTTTAGGGTTTAGGGTTTAGGGAACCAGCATACAGCTAAGGTTGAGAGTTTGCACAACTTCCAAGCCTAAGATTCATCGAATGCACTAGACAACAGTATGAACTCTTATGATGACCCGTCTGAAAGTATGAGTTTCAAGACTGACCATGTTCATTGTGCTTTGTATTGTAGCTATTGCACTTAGCTACCAACTGTCGTCCACTTGGTTTAGAATGATTATCGTTGTCGTGTCGCCCAGTTTCAATTTTCAATATTCCATATTCCATGTTCCCATATTGAGTACTCACCGTCACACTAAACCGCGGGATCATTGCAGCAGCAAGCCCTACACCCTAAACCCTGTCGCACGCTGCAACACTCAACTATTCTGAAATACGCCTTCGGCCGACTTTCCGGGTCGGCTAATGAACTCTCAAAGTTAAGGCTCACCTAGCTGCACCAAGACAGACACCACACACACAATCCTGACAAAACTTGCAGAGCTCCGTAGTTCGTGGGGACAGATGGCCCGCATTTCACTACGAAAGCACGGCTTCCTGTGAGCAACTGGGCAAAAGCTGTGAGCCAGAGCAACCGGAGTGGTGGTGATTCCAGAAGCTGCTGCACGCGTGCGCATTCTCTTCGAGACTGCACAACCGAGGCTCCTTCTGCCTTGCCCCTGTCTGAACCTGGGTTCTTGTTAAGGGATTTAATTTAAGTTACCATAATAGGGATCTATAGTAAATAATATGGTCTCCTTATTATGGTAACTTAAATTAAATCCCTTAACAAGAACCCAGGAATGCACGGGGCTGTTCAATGGTTCACACACCCGAGAAGCTCACTAAGCGGCTGCTGGTTCTGCAGTGGCGTTAAGACTTGTCCCAGGGGCGAAACGAAAACCAGCTTTTTGGAAAGTAACTGTCGGAGGCCTGGCACCATTAGATTTCGGGCCTCCTGCCAGCTTGTACTGAATGGCATTGCAACCGTGGAGATCATCTCGCCGGTAAGCTTCCGCATGATCAGCCTCAAAACATCGTCTTCAACTTCGCCCATCAGCTGCACTAAGGTGGGGTGCCATCCCTGCCACAAAAAAATCCAGGTACGCAGTTGCCCAGTTGCGCGGTTGTACCAAACCAGTGTTCCCGGAGTTGAATCGTCGACCAGATCATGCGCGCGCGTGCCGCGCGCGCTTACATGGCCCGACAGACAGAACAGTTGCGGGCCTTGGCTTCCGACGGCGGGTTCGATCTCGAAGTCCCGTCGATCACTCATGGTGGGGGTTGCTCACCACGACGACCGGACGGGATTCCTCCTTCGAGACGCCGCTTGTGAGATGGTAGATGATGCCGCTCTCCAACTCCTTCCACTGCCCGCACCAACAACCCTTCGAAACAACCGGCTCAGTCAGCTGCACACCGAGATGAGACAACTCAAAGGATGAAGTCATGGCTCGAAACACGGGCGGAGGCAACGGTCGGGGGAACCCTAAGCTGTCAACCGTGACTTGCAGGCAGCCGACCGACATCCATCACCCTATGACCTGATCTGCACATGCCTCATAACCCTAAACTGCCTAAACCCTAAACCCGAAACCCCCGAGACTCCCTATAAACCCTAAAGTCCCTAGACCCTCAACTCACTACACCACGAACCCTGAACCCTAAACGCCCGAAACCCTGAATCTCCCCAACCCCTGAACTCCCTCACGAAGGCCCTTAATAATGAGAACAGGGCTTTGGGCTCCCTTCTAGAATCATTATAATAGAAGGAACCCTTAATAATTAGAATAGGGTTTTGGGCTCCTTTATAGAAATTATAGAATCATTATGATAATATAAGGAACCCAGACAGTATTATTGGCAATGATTTAGGCTCCTGTACTAGATGCCCTAAACCGCAAAACCTGGACCCTCTTGGAAAGGGCCTCCATGGTGGAAAGCGGGAAAGGTCAACTTTGCCTCGCTGCCCTGCAGCACGTGCGCTTCACTTGAAAGCTTTTCTGTACTAAATACCTTATATAACCTACCAAAACCCATATTTTTGGAGGTTCTGATTATAAACCCTAATATGGGATTTATAGGGACCCTACAAAAAAAAGTAGGTTCTGGTAGGTTAAGGTAGATAGATCTGTCTCAATAATACGAACCTGTGTAGAAGGAAAAAGATACACACGCACACACGGTGTCAATCAAACAGGGTGTTAGACCACTTCTAACTTCCAACTATATTGGGGCAATAAGGGGGCTCTATACTTTGAAAGTTTCGGGGTTATCGCAAACGTAAAGGGACTAGAGGGGGATGTAACATGGCATTGAAGTTTAAGGTACGTGTCCGAAGTTCACTACGCTTTCTCGACAGACTTCGAAGGCTTTCGTCGGGGCGCTAGGCACTCGGACTATGGGTTAGGCTTACTGTAGGGAACAACAAGGTCTAAACCCTAAACCCTAAACCCTAGACCCCAAACCCTAAACCCTAGACCCTGAACCCTAAACCTTAGACCCTAAACCCTAGACCCTAAACCCTAAACCCTAGACCCTAAACCCTAAACCCCAAACCGAGTTTCGGTCGGATGTAGGGCGGAAGACAGGAGGCTCCGGCGCAGGTTTCTCCGAGAACCGAAACCCCAAAGCGGGAGCTAGAAAATGGGACTACTTGGAGGTTCATGGGTAGTTATAAGTGGGGTTATAGGGTTCCTTTAAGGGTTCTGTAGGGTTTAGGGTTTAGGGTTTAGGGTTTAGGGTTTACTTGGAGGTTCACGGGTAGTTATAAGTAGGGTTATAAGTAGGATAACTATAATTATAACCCCTATTAGGGGACTTATAAC